CCTTTCTTGGGACAGTTATCTATTTTTATATTAGAAAATGCTTTGATGGAGTTGAATTAAACTGATGATAATCCTCCTATTGCAATCTAATGAATTATTGATTTTCACATTTCAATCCTGTTTTTCATACGATTTAGTGAGACGAAAACTGATTTTAGAGTGTTGTATACATCATTAGAATATTACTCACCATATTCCTCCTAGGGCTTGTCATCATTTTCCATTCATTCATATTAAAATAATAAAGATGATACGTTATCTTTACATATTGTTTTCCTTTGATCCTTTTAACGTCATTCTATAATCTCTAACGTTTAATCTATACACTAACAAAGCATTGAAGTTTTAACTGCAAAAGAATCCTATGTTCAGTTTTTGCAATTATGACGAGCTCTTTGTTCATAAAAGATGGTGTATTTCATTCATTGTTTCTTTAAACATTTATATAAAAATCTAAATGTAAGGTCAAAACTGTGAGCATGTAAATATATATGAATATCAAAATGAAATTGGCAGTGTGCATAGTGTGATAAGAATTTCCATGCATGAGCAATGGGATTTCATCAATGTATTATTCTTTTTGTTAGAGTATCTTCTTATACCATATACAATCACCTTATTACAGTTACCTATCGAAGGCGACTAGACCACAGTGTACTGTTTCTCAATAAATGATGAATTATGCCGATGACCGCATTATAACAGGTCTATTGGTATTTCTGAATATTGATTCATGTTCATGGGGAGTGGGGGGAGCATCAATTGCCGTTTAATAACAAAATCATATCTTATAATGTTATTTAGCAAAATATATCAACTTTCTCTACTAATAAAAGTCTTTCGGGTTTTCTTTATTCACAATGAAAATAGCAAAATATTAAAGATAAAACAAATAACACAACGGTTTTCTTTTGAAAATAATCTTTCCACTTTACATGCCCCTATTTTGGAAAGGTTTCCTGTCTTCGTCATCTCTGTAAGTATTAAGTAATATGACTTCCTCCTTAATAATGCAAAGTTTCTCATATTCTTGAAATACAGAGAAGTCTCGATACCAGCATATCCACTAAAGATTATTTATAGGTTATAGGGAAATAAAAAAGCATTGTAGACATGTCGTCATGAAATAAAAAGTACGTATTGTTCTCAGGAGACAAATTACCTTTTAGAAGAATTATTAATCCCAAAGTGTCATAAAATCTTAAACGAACGCACTATAAGATTTCTTTTAGATAATAATTGTAGCATAGATAATGTAGCTTGCCATTAATTGCCTCTTGTGCAGAGTTAATGCTTGATTTGGTGCTAGGTACCTGATTCTCATTTAAAGAATATGCTATGAAAATGACCTAGATTTACTGGCAAGGGAGGGGTTGGATGTGAGTGGTTATCTTAGTACATGTAAGTTTACTTTTCAAACCGACTGTGATTTGTAAAGATCGAAATAAGAATTAGATATTAATTAAAGAATCCATATGTTTTTCGTATATTTATACATTTATAAGTTGCAATACAAAAGGAGTCAACAGAAACTAAGATATGTTACAGACAAAATAATTGACTGTTATTGAATTGCATTACAGACATGCTCACAGGTAAACGTATTATATTCTTAGATATTTATAGTGATAGATGGTTTTGAAATATGTAAATGTGAAACTCCGTTAAAAGTGTACATGTGTACAATTATACTATTTGAATTTGACTCTGTACCCTTTTGAGGTTCATTCACCATGAACCTTAGTATGATGCTATTCAATCCTAATATTTCTTTTAAGTGTGAAAATGGATTTGTGCAAATCTGTCAAGGAGGAGGCATACTTTATATTTCATGATTTTCAGAATCACAAACTAAGTCATGAAAGTGAATTTATTTTCAATAAATATGCTTCAAAATAGATGAAAAAAAAAGAAAATGGAAAGAAAATATTCCCATGCTCGGCGGGGGTACAGACAGAAACCGTGATTTCTTTGAAAAAAAACCCAACATGGTGGATAGATGCATGTGAATTTCATTTCATCTCTCCTTTCGAAATAGAGGGAGCAGTTGTTAAACGTTGACAATAACAGAAATCCAACCATACTTCATAAAAATAGTTCTTGTAGCGAGAAGAGATAAATTCGATTAAATAAGTGCATTGTTCAGTGGGAATGTTTTTTCACTAAATAATACCTATTAGCATGTCTTAACTATTTTATAAAAGTTTCGTCCAAAGAAATGATTATGACTTGGTTTCAGAGGTTTCAGTTTGAACCTTTGTTTAAAGCATTTGAAAGAACGAATCAAAATCTACATCGAACTTATTTTGAATTTCTAGCAAAAGTTAAAAACTCACACTTGAAATTTCGTTGAGTTACACTATGGGATTAATATGCAACGCATTTCATTTGATTGTCTCATATCAAACACCAAGTAAATACAAGAACACTATTTTTTATAATCTGAAGAATATTTATTTCATTTTACAAAAGGCAAATAAAATGAAGATGAAAAAATCAGCTACATTCCGAACATCGAATGTAAATAATCAAGAAAACACGACTGAAATGAAATTTATCACAATTACTGAAGGCTGCAGAATACACCTCCATTAATATCCACCGATATATTATTACACATACCATTCGACAGCGAAACAGTTAAATGCTTATATTAACATAATCTTCGGAAATAAATTATTTTCAACCGGAGATAATTAAATCGACTGAATTTTCCGCTATTGTGAATTTTAGAAGAGGTAGAATGTGTTCACAGATAATGTCCGACGAAATATTATACTTTAGAAAATAAGCGTTCGATTTTTTTTTTTTTTTTTTTTGCTTTTCATTTTCCTTGTAAATTACTGGATGGGAATGCTTTATTTTATTTTTCTCTCTTATTGATGAGAAAAATAACACATTTTGAAGTTATTTCCGTCCAAGTAATACGTTTGGTTACATGAGTTTGTTTACATTCAATAAATAAATAAATAACACCATCGATATATTTATATTAGCACGTGATCTGTCAACAACAGTTGGTCAACATAGGACAACAGCTGAGGAAAATACAAAAATAACAGAAAATATAAATTATCAAAACATTGAGCCGATAAAACGAAGACAGTTTGATTTACATAAATTATATGACTAGATATTCACACATCTATAACAGAGTTCTATATCATTTCATTGCACAAATGCCCGTAATAATTACCTTAAAGATACAAGTTATCACGTGTAATAGCATGCATTCTTTGCCCAGATATATCCGCGCTATGTTATCAACTCCTGATTACAAACAGACATGGAGTCATTACGTGTCTCTAGCAATATGAGTATTATGCAGTATTTAAAATGATAAAACATATCTCATTGCACTGGTATGATTGTTGCTTCCAATAATTGATAAAGATATTGCAAAACCATTTTGATTAGCTGAACTTTGAGTATTGATATATAAGCTTATCTTGATTGAAGGGTGTGGGAATATCCGCTCAGAGAAATTCTAGCGAATACTTGTGTTCACAATGGTAAATTTATGTTTCTAAACAGGTAAATTCTAGGATGTATTTGCACTTGTTGACCAAGGTTTACATAGCAGGTGTCGTCCTCCGTGGTTGTGCACCTTGAGAGCGTGACATGAAATTCTGATAGATATTTGCCCATGCAGAATAAGACTACAATAGTGTATGATAAAAGGATGAACTTACCCCGATAGATAATTCCAGGGAGCAATTACCTCGATAAATTAAAACGAGTATTTTCCAAGAGAATTTCTGGAATTTTTTTTTTTTACATACCGAAGCTAATTTAATTATGGCAAGTATTGACATAAGTATATTCTTGTGATTATTCTTGTAATCATTATGCAGGTAAATGCTGGGGAGTATTTTTTGCAGAAAATTTCACTAAGTACCCAGATGATTTATTCCATATTTTGGACTTGCATTAAATGGATATAATCTTATGGTGCTTAACTCAGTTACGCTTATTACAAATAATAATGATAAAATCGTGCTGTTAGAAAATCTACTGTATCAGTACCTGAATTCGTTCGGTCGTTAACAAATATAGATATGAATTAAATGAAAACATTTGCAATTGATGTAGGCATATCTTTTGAATTGAACATAGCAAAAATGACCTGAATTAATTGATAAATGAGAAATGGAATATATTGTTTACTAGATAACGTTTAGCAGCATAAACACCCTATCCTCATGCTTGCTAAACTTCCAATATGTTTCTTAAAAATACTGATACAATGATTCCTATTGATCATTTCAGTAAAAAAGACAAAGGATTGAGCGGAGGGATAAAAAGAGAAAAAAGAAAAAAAGTAACAAAAAAAAAAAAAAAATTAAATAAATAAAATAACCAAAAAAAAACCCAGCGTATTTCTCAATAACCTTATATACGAAAATATGTATTCATCTAACATACACTACTTCATCAATATATATTTATATAACTTTGTCCATACAATTAATATATAAATTCTTTGTTCTTGACTGTCGAAAAGTTTATCCCCAAAGCTGTCGCTTTTACATTGTCAAGCTCACAACGAAGGGCGTAATATACCGGTTCCGACACTTTGCAACAGTCCTGCGAGATCCACTGACGTCATACTTCATGATCAGTCTTTTTCGCTGCAGTATGTGTTATGACTATTAGGTAAGTTCATACGATTTTAAATATTACAAACTCGAAAGAATTATTTGAAGAAACTCTTTCAGAGACTTAGTTCATACACTAGCCTCACGTGAATTTTCATATTATCTTTAAAAATATTCCTGTGTTGCACTCATTATATGGAAATCGGTATGATAAACACAAGCACTGTTGACTGAGTCAATGGGTCATTGTTTTGACCAGTTCGACGGAAATCCTTTCTTTCAATATTTCATGTAAACACCAACATACGACATCTCTTTTCCTTTCAACCTATCACTGAGAATAACTCTGATCATTTCTCGTCTTGTCCATGATTAAATATATACTTTTTGATATCGAGGCTGTCAGTAAACTTCCACATGGCTGTGACTCGTCACCACAGGGTAATCCGTGTATCCTTGAGAGTTTTCATTAATGTCGGGAGAAATCATCCTGAGCACGTTCGGTCCACCATGCATTGGAATAGGTTCCATCGGCATCATGTGTGAGTTTGACATGGGTATATTCGGTGAGTGACGACCGAGGTAGCTGGCGTTGGGCGGAATGTTGGTACTAAATTGGGACCAGGATTCCATTGGTGGGGTTCCTGGGGGTCCAACGGGCACCTGGCCGATACTTGGCTCTCGATCAAGAGGTTGGCCTGAACTGAACATATCTCCCGAAAGTCTTCCTGATGAAACTGGACCATCCAAATCGTCTAAGTCATCTGCAAAGACATATCACGTTGTAGCAAAGACATACTTCAAATCGGGCCATAATATTAGTGTGTTATACTGTTTTTTTAATCACGATGATTGATAATGAGTTTTCTTGGGCGATAATGCCAAGATTTCTTTAAAAAGACATGTGAATTCAAGCAATTTTTTTTCTTAAAATAAGACAATATATTGTGACTTCGATAAGAATTAAGTTTATCATATATACTTTGAACTGTAAAGCAGCACTTTTAGAAAAGAAAAATTATGTTTGGGTGAACAACTGTAGTGTTAATGGATTTTTATGAACGAAGTTGAGGGTAAGAAAAAGATAAAAAAAAGAGACTGACACTCACTATATCCGTCGAGCTGTCCATCGTCTGACATATTATCGGCGCTCTGTGAACTGTCTGCGTCTCCTGAACGTTTCAACTGCCGGAAGTAGGGACTCCATCTGTTTCGTCCGGCGTCTTTTTTCAGTCGTTTTTCTTTAGCTCGACGGTTCTGGAACCAGACTTGTACAACACGCATATCCAGTCCAGTTTCAGCGCTCAGTTGCTCTCGCACATGTCTTGCAGGTTTTGGACTTTCGTTATATGCAGTCTTCAGTGCTTCCAATTGCTTAGCCGTAATGGTAGTTCTTGGTCGTTTGTTGGCAGCATCTAGGTCGATTTCTATAAAAAAAATAACGAAAAAAATATAGAAAAAAAATGAAAACGGTAGACAAAAACACAATTAATGTGTATTCAATACCCGTACTTTGTACTTTATTTTTTGTGAATTGACCAATTATCTGCTGTGTACGAACTCTGTAGGAGAAGCGGGCAATGGTGTTTCCTTATGTGAATTGAATTTGTCTTCGAACTGTTACTGTTGGTAATTGTGGAATACACCTGTTTTGTCAATGTTATTTTAACTGTTTTATAATGCTTTTGTTAATACTCTTCAAAAGGACGACAAGCCCATTCCCCATCCCAACCCCCTCAAAAAAATCTTACAAAAATTATAAATATGGAAAACCGTTTTTAAATAATCGATTAAGTCATGGTAAATGGAATTAAAGGACATTTAAAATAATTAATTTCTTTTATTCAAGAAACCAAAACCTGAAAAAACCATAAAAACTTCTGAAGGTTGGTATTTCATTCGGGTCAACAAAAAGTGTTCACTGCAGCATTTATTGCCCCTTTCGTGATGTCAGCTCACTTATTCTGGTACCATTGGGCTACCATTAGTGGTAGTCTAAACATGCAAGCGTATACTCTTCTACAGACGGAAGTCTTCCCATTGATATGTAGGTTACCACAAGCCTTAAAATATGTGATTAAATTTCTAATGAATGCAAAAACACTAAAATCCTACAAGTTAGAGTAATATCATTTATATGTAAACTGAGTTGTGCACAAATTTCTCTTAAATCCTGACAAAGACATTCTCCTTACGAAAGAGAAGGTGATAATATTGGTATTAAAGTCCTTTTTGCGTAGGTTGAAACATGTCGCGAAGAAACCATCACTAAACAGCTGATCGGTCATAAGAACTCGTATATACAGGAATTAGGTTATTTAGAACAAGAGCCCCAGCAGATTTTATATCGCCACATATAAACTCCACCGACATGAAGAAGGCTGCTATGTCACCTGTACAGATTCTAAGCTGGTGGTATCTTTTTATGCAGGCAAATTAGGCGTTGTTGAAATCTTATTTACCAAAAACGTGTTTTGTCATTAATATGTGTAACTAACAATGATATGCTTCAATAGATGTAAGTTTGAATTGTCTGTACAATTATATCAATCTATTTTCATTAAAAGAAATATTTTGACTGTTAATAATATTAGTATTAATATTCGCCAAAACTGAATCAGCATACATATCTTTGAGCGATAAAAAGACGTTTGTGTGTAAATAATTGTCTTTTCTTCCAAGTTCGTATCAATAAGGACATGACAAAATAATAATTCTTCAAAAAATGTTGTCATATACTTTGTCAAATAACTTATACACAAAAGTCAAAACGTTATCAAAAATTATAAATGCATATATGAAAAAAAGTTTGATGGTGTCACGGTCAAAACTTATCACTATAAAGTACAACATTATAGGGAGAACTATCACATTTCTTTGGTGTCTGTAATATATATTTTTATGAGGGTAAGGCAAAACTTTTAATGACAACTAAGCCAGGATATAAGGATTGTGTGTTCACCTAGCTGAAGTTGAAGTAGGACTTAAGCTATAAATCCGAGCAAGGCATAAACCATATACATCATTTGATAATCTTTTTATATGATTCCGTCGACAGTTGAACTCTTGATGTGTCAGAAAACCTCTGACATAATGGTTCGTTTATGTTACCTATAAGGAAAATACGTCCGCTACACAGCTGTGGTGGATGGCTGTACTAACGCATTGCTATTCCTGCACCAACTAAACACCTGCTTTGCGGGGATATGAAGCTGTACGGGTATGCCTAGCTCTACCTCATCAGAACACATCTCATCGGTTCCATTACAATGCCAGTGAATGTGGAAGAAAAAGCAGATTTTCAGAATACGTAAGCGCATTACACTAAGAACATTAAATTGGCGTTTGAGAGCCGGCGGAATCGTAGATAGAAATTTTATTGTTAGGGTAGGGTAATATCATGACGATTCTCCATCAATAACTACTCTCTCCTAGTGAAATATGAAACTTGCCAGTGCAGCTGTACGTTATCTCTTCAGTTCTAGCTCCTTATCACCGCCAAAGCACGCGCGCAGTTCCGCGGCCTCGTCGCGTGTTCCCAGGTAAAATAACGAGATTTTTTTGGATAATTCATTTCACCTGATGTCGCATTGAATCGTCTTTATAGAACGCCTTGATCGTAAATATATCAGCGGAGAGATAGTGGGAGACAGGCATTCGATATCAGTGTTAGTTCCGCGGGGTCTCGCAAATCATCTGTGTGATCTAGGTTTTCTTCACGACAGGGAGCTGGGATAAAAATAAAGGCCACGATGATGAAGGACAAGATGAAATGATCAAACGTATCTTGACGTCTCAGAACCAATACATACCTAGTCAGACGATATAAATATTTTAAAACCCGTTCTAGAAAGATGAAATATGGAATACTTATTTCAAAACAGGCAAGAACACGAAAATTTTCAATTTGTTTTCATTAATCTATATTTATTTTAATGAAAAATCGAAGAAATTCATTGTTACATATTTCTTACAGGGATGTAAACATTTAGGTAAACTCATGATATTATGTCCGATGTTTCCTCTTGCTCATATAGAATTAAAGGGACTAAATAGTTAGATTTTCATTTCATAAGCGATAAAGAGCATTATAATATTTAAATATCTGTTAAGAGTCATGCACTTTATGTTAATTATAATATTTAAAAGTTTGCATAACCATTCCATTAAAAACGTCAAAAAATTAAAATAAAATAGGAGCGACCCAACACTAATTCATATCATTATCGTTAAAGTGTAAACCGTGTGCTTGCACGTGCGCAATGCGGGGAAATTTAGAAAACATAACAAAGCGACGGGTTAAAACTCTTGATGAACTCGGCTATTTCCGATCGAAACAATGAATGGCAGAAGACACAACAGCTGATAATCTTTATATTTTTTTTCTAAAACAAAGTGCTACAATTTTGAGAATAACCTAATTTTAAGTATTACAAAGCAAACGCGTGAAAAACAGAAAAAAAACTAAGCATTTAGTCCCTTAAAGAACCCCTATGAATTGATTCTAAGAAAAAAAAGTAAAATATAGATTTCTATAAAGTTAATGTTGATGATGATCTACTTAAACTTCCTCTGTAAATTAACTTCCAGTTTAGAAAATATACTGTAATATGTTGGCGACGAAAGTGCACGAGAGAGAGAGAAAGAGCTTATGTTATGAACGAACTGCAGGTGGTACGAAGTCCCTGAATCTAAGGTCAGTCCGTTCACATGTGTATTAACAGCCGACTAAATTATTGGACGGAGAAGCCATATTTCAATGTTGCGTCTGGTGATTAATTAATAAGCTTAGAGGTTTAGCCTAAAGAAGGCCAGTACTTAGGTAGGGATTCAGTCAGATGAGTGTAACCCTGTAATGGGATCACTGTTGGACAGACTATTACAAGGGCACAACTTTTACTGATGAGTTGCTTGCAATTATTTGACAGGCATTAACGGGTTAGTCAGGAATTATCTTAGACTACACACACTCTCTCAATTAGGAACTAACAAACCAGATTAGTGACTTACCTAGAATATAATCATGCCCTTAATCAGAAACTTACTAACCAGATTAGTAACTAACCTGGAGTATACACACTTCCGTAATCAGAAACTAATGTAAATTGGGCAAACGTTATTAGTCAAGCCTGAAGTGAGTAGTTTCTGAAAATAACACACCAGTGGTTAGATAAGTATTAGTTTTATTCATTACACAACTACGGCAAAACAAGCTACATACATATACCAGGTTATGTTTATCGCACATTTTTGCTGACGAGGTGTCTGGGAGAAAGCGGAGTACCCGGGGAAAACCCACGTAGTCGGTAACCTTAGAATCTATTCATGTTTGCTTGGGAAATAGAATCCAATCCAGGACGTCTAGATGGAATTCAAGTGATTAACCACTACGCCATCTGCTATTCTACATTGATAAATTGTCTTGTATCTATCTAGGGTAGAATAAGTCTCACTTGGACTGGTGGACTTCACTTGGAGTTCATCTTTTCTCCTAGTATCTACCATTACTGGACTATACATAGATTCTGAAGGGAAAAATCACAATTCAGCGGTCTAGGTAATCTTTACAATATTGACATCACTAGTCCAATAACTACTACCTGGAAACCCTACTGCTGCTTTTCTTTCTGATTATATATATAATATTTCATTCTACCTTTGGTGTTTCTTAAGTTTTCAAACCAGATATATTCTCAGAGTGTTAAATTAATACCAATTTGTGAAATGACACTAGTCGAGCTTTTGTGTGTTCTGTTTACCTTAGTGTGTACACTGTTGAATGTTTCACTATTACCTTGTCACATTGCCCAATTGCCTTTTCTGTTTACCTTAGTGTGTACACTGTTGAATGTTTCACTATTACCTTGTCACATTGCCCAATTGCCTTTTCTGTTTACCTTAGTGTGTACACTGTTGAATGTTTCACTATCACCTTGTCACATTGCCCAATTGCCTTTTCTGTTTACCTTAGTGTGTACACTGTTGAATGTTTCACTATTACCTTGTCACATTGCCCAATTGCTCATTATATAAGATATACACGTTTTGAATTATGTTAATGATATGAACTTGATGGCTTAATTTGTTGTTAGTGTTGTTTTGATGTCTCGTCGATTCTTGTTTATTTCAATTTGTGTTTGAAGCGATTTCACACGATTGTAAACCATGTGGATCAGTACTGAGAATGTTGTTTTATCTTCGGGAGGTATATTTCACTTTTTGTGAGGATGAATTGGGACAGCGGAAAAAAAGTAGAATTACAGAAATCTATATCATGTTTCATAATCAAAGAAAACTGTGACTTTCGACACATCCTTTTTGGTTCAGGCTTTTAATCAAACCGCGAAATTTTGAACTGTAGGAAAACAACCTTTACAGCAAGGCCCCCTTTAGAAACATCCAAATTCTGGATATCCCTTACCTCTAGCTTTGGCCGCCTCGTAATCGGGTTTACAGACAAGTTTGCGGTCTTCCATCAGATAGAATTCATCTCCCGTGTTCAGTTGTCGACTGCACATAAGACAGGCAAAACATTCGAGGTGATAGACATTGTCCTGGGCCCGCCGAACCACTTCCGTCGGGGGAATCCCCTTCTCACACCCAGCACATTTCGTACCAAACCGCCTGAAAAAAATATAATATTATTATCATCATTTTTCTATTATTGAAAAAAGGATTGGTCCAGAATGCTATGTTTACTATGAAAGGATGATTGGAATGTTATGTTGACATTTCGGGATACTCCGGAGAGCAGGCAAATTTTAACGATGTGTTCGTCTGTATTGTACTTCTCTATTGTGTTTTAAAAGCGGAGAATCTTTCGTACTGTATTACATAAAGATGTTGAATTAACAGTTCACTGCAGTACGAAAATACAAGATCTTAAACGGTTTAAAAACGACTGAAATCGATTTGTATACAGAAACAACCAACCTACGTAGAGATAAAGTTACCGTTACTGTTTGAAAGTTTCAGATTCAACAAGTATACAGAAATCACACAGGGATAAGGATAGAACAAGATAATCCATTTCCTGGATTAACAAGAACCAAATATGTTGTTAATTTTTTTCGTATGACCGACCTCATGAAATAATAAGTCAGGCAAACTACAAAAACCTCTATTAATTTCAAGAGATACTTAAGTCTCTCCATGTATAACTAGAGAGAGAGAGAGAGAGAGAGAGAGAGAGAGAGAGAGAGAGAGAGAGAGAGAGAGAGAGAGAGAGAGAGAGAGAGAGAGAGAGAGAGAGAGAGAGAGAGAGAGAGAGAGAGAGGAGAGAGAGGGGGGAGGGGGGGAGAGAGAGAGAGAGACTTAATATCTATATATCTCGTCGATGCGTTTCGCACCTACCTCCGATCGTTAATTTAGAATACCATGCACCTACAGAAGCCACCATGTTGGTAACTTTTTCATGACGATTAAAAAGGGAATATAAATAAAATTTAGGATATAAACAGCTCGTTCAAAACATTGTATTTAATGTTAAATGTGCCTATGTGCTGTGACTTTAATTTCACAGACCGTCTAGTGACCATACTTTGTAGGAGTTACGTGTCTAATCTTGCTCACGATTTATTAACTGCGGGGCTTTAATCTGCAGTAACTTGTGTCTTGCGTCAGTTTATGACCGCTTCGGTTAATGAAACCCATGGAATCAAGACCATTTATACTGCAAAAAGTAGTCCCCTCGGAGGTATAAAACACCGATGACTCTATGTTATCAGACCGAAAAGTTCCGATCGATGGCAATAGGAACGTTTCCCCCACCAAACAACCTATCTTAGAGCCGTCTTTGTCATGTTGTAAGCTCCTACAAAATGTGGTGATGGGAACAGGCTATCTTTCACACTTATATTTATGTATATTTTGTCTTCAGTTGCGGACTTTCTTACTGTCGACTGTAACACAACTAGTATTTTCGAGGGGAAAGAATAGACATCATCAGTTTGAATGAATTTGCATAAATTATAGTGTCTGAATGAATAAAGTACGTTTTTTCGTAGAATACAAATTCAAAAGAATGAAATAAGGTTTCAGTATTTTTTTGTTGAATTCTCTCAGCATAAGTTAGCAAAATAAGTGTATTCCGTGCAAAATACATATATCTCTAGCTTAGAACGTTACATAGGGAAATCCGAAGTCCCCAAGATCTGAAAAACGACGCAGTACTTTGTACGGGGTACTGCATAATTGATGTTAAAGGTAAAACTATCTTAGACCGGGACCGTCGGCCACATCAAACGCCATTCCACAAAAGTACACCTCACCAAGTAATGATCGATGCCAGGTCCCAACTATCGTCGGAACCCAATATTCAACATATCTCCTTGTGAAATACCTGATCCTTAATAGCATTATCGCATAAGGTAAAGATGCAGTTTAATGGCTGTATTAGATACCATACATACTTCAGGAAAAAGTGCAGGTGAAACACGAGTGCAACAAAAATCAGAGATTCTTGTACTTGGTGAAGTAATGCATGTGAGGCAATGTATAGAGCAACAAGCATTTATCATCATCTACTGGCATATTGAGTCTGCTGTTTGTTTTCTGCCGGGTTAAGAGAGGGTTTTATGAGATATGGACATCTATATATTATAGCATACGTAGAGGTTTTATATGCAGGTTATTATGCTTATTTCTAATTTTACTCAGACAAGACTAAGCAATATCCAGTTTTCACCAAGAAGATGAGGTTTTTAATTGATCTAATCAAAGGTTTTCAATGAGATATCAAAGTATCTATCTCATGACTTTCTCTTGTGTGGGTTAAATTGCAGAAAGATAAATCGACACTGGTTGTATGATACATGTATAATAGCGCTAAATACATCACATTACTTCTAAGAAAAGTTGGTAAATGTTTTGTCGTACAAGTTGAAGGTAAGGCTGATTGCAGCTTGATACGATGTAGAGATCAACGCCCAGTCCACACAGACCACATCTATCTTTTTCATCTACATGATCGATACGGCATTCAATGGAACGAAAAATCAAACATAAGATCTTTGATTGCTGAGGCCGTTAATGTCAAGAATGCTATCTCTCTGGGAGATTGACATGGCGTCCGTATGTAGCCGGCATCAGCCAACACAGAGCTTTACTGTTTGTGTATTGGTTGGGAAAGGTCAAAAATGAGTAATGTTTTATGACGTATAACTTGTTGATTTATGACCTTTGGTGTGTGAATTATTGGCTGGTTTGGATCTATTTGTTCTATACGAAGTGTTTCTCGTGAATTCTGTTATGGTGATGTTTATAGTAACAAAAATTAGGAAAATGAATAAATTTGGTATGAATATTTAAGATAAATGACTTAAACAATGGCCTATATATATATATATATATTTGATAACGAATAAACAATAAGGGCGCAATTGCGATTTTTATTTATGTACATATATTGTTATACCAATGTTACTGTGTCATCAATATATGGCAATCTCCAGAATACTAGACTGATGCCAATTGCACCAATCGACCCTTTATTTGAGTTCGACGTGATCTTGGGATGGTGATGGTTGCAGATATTTTTGGCTAAGCTTTGATTGGTAATAATGTGTGATCGCAAATAAGTACAAAAGTAAGAATTGAAAAATGTGAAATTAGCTTATTCTAAATTTGTAAGAAACTTAAACATGCGAAAAAAATAATAATGATACCAATTCCGTATATAATCTTTGAGTCAGGAATCATTAAGGGGGAAAAAAAGAAAAGAAAAATTGCAACACGTGTTGGTTTTCCAATATCACAAGTTTCAAGTCAGTCCTCGACATATGACATCAAAACCTAAACCTCTAGTGATGTGAGTTAATAAATACATGTACTATGGGGAAAGTTCAGTCGTTATTATTATCTCTTACGGAAATAGCATATATTTTCTTGTCCAATCTAATGTGTGAGATGCTCCGTAGTTTGGTTTTTGCTATTTTAAAACCAGTTCTCATTTAAGATTTACATGGCAAGTATCGTAGATGAAGAAGAAGACGCTTACTTATCCAGAACACCTGGTCTTATTCTCCTAGTAATTTTTGAAGATATCCGTATATGATTCATACTAAGAAAAAAAGTTACTTTTGTTTTATAAAATACGCATCCAAGAATCCTTCTTTTGAACGGAGCAAATGTATATAAACATTTTACCGTCGATTTTTCCTTGGTAGGTTTCCATTACGATTTTGTTGACAAAGCGGTATCTGCTTGTTTTCAAAAATATATATCTTTAACCTCAGCAATAATTCTTCGAGTTGCCAGACAGGTGTTGAGAATTTATGGTAGGTCTTTGTGATGACTTCAGCTGTCTTCAAAGGTTAAATACACGATAATTTTATTTTATTAGACTCAGGAGTGTGCCACCGCCAGACTGAGTTATATGATAAATGTAAGTAAGTATGAGGTATATATATGCACACTTCGTCGTTATTATCACACATGGGAAAATACACGAAACAATTCTTAGTTTGGTTTTATTCGTTATAATTTTGGATCTTCATATGTTTTAATAAAAAAGATCTCAGAGGTCGGCGATATTGTTTGGCTATTTCAGTAAAACCAGTCCTTTATGCGATCATTTTGATGGCTGTGCTTTATTTCAGTTAAATGCTAATTATTTTATCAAAAACAATCTTTTTAGATAAAAAAAAAAGTCCATATCCATTATATATCTCAAGAAAATTAGTCTAGTTGAATCGTGTGCCCTTTTAACTCAACTCTAAAAGGATATTTTTATTATCCTTTTACCGTATTATTTGAAAATAAGTCTTCGTATGATCATATTGCATCTGTGCAATAGGAATAAATTTAAAAATAGATCATTGTCTTCTGGAGAATGCCATTCAGGTTTAAGAAGATAATATTCATAAATCTTTTGATCCTTCACAAGAGTATGCATGAGTGTTCGTCTCGATTGCCTTTATTCCAGAAGGTGTATTTAGGATTCTTTTGGTGATTAACTACTCTTGACCCTTGACCCCTGCATTAAGTGCATGTGACAGATGGGGATGAGTATTAAACAAACGTTTATGGTCTTCCAATGAACAGTGCGCCTCAGCGTTGTGGGGCTTCTGTGTGGAGTGGCGGTACCTCTCAGGCTTCGCCCAGGGTCGCACAGACTACTCCGGTGTCTCGTTATGATGTTGATTATTGATGAGGTTATGAATATATAAGATTTTTTTTCAACCAATGTGATTTTAGTTTGATTCTTAAAAGTTTCCACGTGCATTTGATACAATTATAAAAATGTGGTATACATGTTCAAAATATATACTGTAAGCAAAACGTTTGTACTTTTATTTACACTTTTTATGTATTTTGCACCACCCTAGTGTAAAGCCGTATCCAAACAAATAGATCTTGATATGTTGTCCTATTCAGTGTATCGTGAAATACTCCGACATTTGGTGAGGTAGTGCGCACAGCGAGGATAACAATGGACAATCGACAGTCTTTACATCCAACATCGTTATGAATATTGAAATCTCTTCAAGCGCAACCGCTGTATAGAGAGGCGGCTTCTTAGCAGGTTGTGCACCATATTCCATCCATATTTATCAATTTCCCTAAACAATGAGACGACAATAAAAGGCATCCCATTGACAGAGGACGCCGAGTTATGTACAAGATTGATGTCCCAACTCCGTAGCACGATTTGTTTACGTACGTGCGGTCGCGTGCATGAGCTCGATTTCCTATGAGATTAATACCATAGAAATTCATAAAAGGCATTGACCAGAATGAATTCTTGTGTTTTTTGTAGCATTTACGCATCTGTCAGTCCCTGAGTTCAACTGTTCATAAAGTGAATTCAAAGCAGCCGTATAAAGTAGTAGACATGATAAAATTGATGGATTACCTCCTGTGACTTGGTTACCTATCTTTGTTATATTTGTTTATGGTAATACAACATGTAGATGAGAAGATTATCCATGTGATGCCGTGTTATTATAAGGCATGCAAATGGCACACAATATTAATACTATGCCGCTTAATAGCAAACATTCGAAGAAGGAAATAAAATCCGAACTAATGTTTTCCGTGCCCTGTGACCTATATCCGATCCCCGAGCCAATATGTCTGATTTATTGCCTGATCGTGACTACTATTTTCACAGCCAAAGTTATTAATTGTAACACTTAACACAAGTATACAAATAGCTTTCTGTTTGACATGTGTTTTAATGTAATAGAGCATAAGTATTAACACCCGTACCTATTTTTCTAATATCAAAATTCAGATAATACATTTTTTTAAAATGAACTGTTTTCTATGTCGTCGTACTAAATCTCTTTAGATAAAATATGTGGTTTTATTTTTTTGCAGTTTCTCATTTCAAACATAGTGCTTCTTAATTAGTATTTTAGAGAATATTATTTTCAACGAATTGGGTAAAGATAAGTAACAATATTTTGTTTTGTACTTCGTGTCGCTAAACAAGCAGTCGTTTATTTTTTATATTGTAAGTAGAGTACATATCTAACTAACTATGAGATAATTTTCTCTCTGAAAGTCCAAGGTTTTCAACTTCTTATCGGTATGCTGTTTCAACACCTATGTTGACAAAATTGAATAAATATCTGCTCGCTCTAATTTGCAGAAAAATGTTGATTAAAATGCACAGTCCTGATGAATAAAGGTTAAACTGCCCTATTACTGGTTATGTGTGTCTCATCATTTTCATGAAAAGAATAGTAATGTTGACTATTGTTTCATAGGGAAGAAAATATTAGATAACTGGGGTTGAGATGTCCGCTTAAACGGATATTCAAATGGGAGATTTACTTCACAAGAGACACAAGAAAAGAAGACGCATACAAGTAAATGTGCTTCACGAAACGAGAACAAGTAGGGAACAGACTTTAAAGGAGATGCTTAATTCACAAAGAAGCTACGGCTGTTACATCACAATCATGAGAATGATAGGCAACGGACACTCAACCGTTTTGGTACAGGAAAAAGGGTTATCTGTGTACTCCTGATGAGGAGGGATCTTTCTGTACATGAGAGAGAACAGCAAGCTGTTGTAGAGAACGCAATGTTCACAGGAAACAGTACACACAGCAACGGACATCAAAGCTGACGAGTTTTCGTTTATTTCGTTGTTTGGCTCTAATCTATCTTATTTAAAATTGAATTGAGATGTGCTATTTGGGTGTCTTTTGTACAGTCTTTGCAAGAAATTGCAGGTGGTTGTCATTGTTGGTGGATTATCATTCTCCGGGGTTTGCTGTAAGTTGCACACCACGTTTTTACTAGTTCGAATGGTGGCATGATTCAGAATAAAAATATGTAATTGGCCTTTTTCTTAACTTATCAGCAATACGAAATTTACGAAATTGTCTTAATAATGGGACATGTGTACCTCTCCATCTTGCTTTGGACATTTCTTTCGATCACCTTGAGTTTTCCTCATATGCCTCCTAAGTTTAAATTGTAGGGCCTTAGCATCACTGACGAGATCAAGCAAGACGAAATAGCTGTATTTTGCAGTTTACTTCATTGCTTGGCTGTGATTGTATCTTATTTTAATATGTATTAAAACGTGTCACCCACTGGTGTGTCTTTTGTACAGTAATTGATCTATATTTTTGAAGTACGTGATACAGTTATGTTTTTTCTTGACGTGAACCCTTACGAGTACGCACCTGTCCGACTATCATTGCAACACCTGAACCACCATACCATTGTATAATTATAGCTGTTACATCCACGAATGATATAGGACTAACAACCATAAGCTCGATAGTCAGACACTATTTACAGAACACACAAAAACTGATTTATCAAATTCGAATAAGGCTTTAAAGTAATTTGCATTGCTTAGCAAATGTAAAATACTTGATCAAGCTTAACTTTCTAACTTTCGGAATGATACTCGCTTATGATAAAACACCTAAACTGTTAGAATCGCTAAATATTCATGATAATTACATATATCATACTACACTTATCTTAATTGATTTTTTTTTTAATCAAATTTTGGAAATTACATGCATTGCTAATATCCCATCTGGATTTGCTACTTTTTTTTTTTTAATTTGGAATTGATATTTTTACGATGATACCTGTGTATGATAGAGGACACCTGCATGGTCTTTCATCTACTTATCATTTTATGTTGATCACACCTATCAATCCAGAAATATCTGTAATAACATTTTAACAACTGCAGTATCAAAATTATATTCATTGCCTATAGGATCATTCATAAATCTCTGGTTTAAAGACCTTATATATGAATTGGAATACCTTTCATATCTAAAAGCATTCATTATATTCATATCACCTTGAAAAATGTTTCATCCAGATTAATTAGATCGGCGCCGAACAGCTGTTTACCTTTACAAATAAAAGTTCGATAACAGAAAATTTGAAATTAATATTTTTTTATGTTTTTGAAAATGTTATCAACTTAACCTATGGATTTTTTTTATCAGTTTCTACCTTTAGTGTATGCTGTTATGTGTTTAAAAATGCATATACATGTATATATATGTAGGGATCGAGTTACATAGATTGCTGATATAGTGTCTGGTATTAAGAATTTACTCACCTGAAGAAATCATCTTTACAGTAGACTTTATCACCCTTGGAGAAACATTTATCACTAAGTTGACTGTGGCAGTCCGAGCACTGCAAACATTTCGAGTGCCATGATCTATCGAGCACCTTGAGTATAAATCGGTCGAGGATAGGTTCCCCACACCCTGCACACTTCGGAATGGCCGCTGAAAAACACAGAAAAAACATAATTATAAATACTGATACTTGTATCCCTAATGAACAAATGGTTACAACAAAATATATTAGATAAAAGTACCCGTTAATTCTTTTCAATTTCCTGTGAGTATTATATGGTTTCCTACCGAATTCTCTTACAGTTCAACAATAAATTACAAACGAATCATCAATCAAGTCTGAGTTTTCATATATACTCATTGATGGTGTCATTTTACGTTACAAACATTAATAAAGTGGTGATCTATTCTGAACATCCACGAATAATCACAGTGTATTATTTGTAAAGATTTTTCGTTATAAATTATTATGCTAGAAACACATGATCATTTAACCGTAGAAAAGAGAAAATGAGATATCTTTCTACTGTTCACAAGGACAATGATGTGAAACGAAATTCATACTGTAGAATTATATTTGCCATTTATTTTTTCAAACAAGTCTTAAAATTAGATAATATATATTATTAATTGGATAATACGTAGTTCTGTGAATGCTTTACATCGGCAATATTTCTTAATTAGAATGCAGTTTGGCTGGAATATCATGGAAAGACAATAGAAAATTCCATCCTTCCTTTTTAAAAATCTTTTGACGCTGTTTGAAAATTCATTTATCTATTTATATCTGTGGGATTTTTACATTTTAATATAATTTAAACGTTTCTCATTTAATCATGATTTATATTTACAAATAGAAATGAGTTAGAATTCTTAACAGGGAATAACTGCTATGCCCCATGCTACAGAATGATCAAGTTTGTTTAGACGTTTATCAGGCGACCCTTTGTTTTGACACAATGTAGTAGAAAACCCCCTCTCTAGTTTAAGAAGGGAAATTAATAATACCAGTCTTAAATTGTACTGCCCGCATGGATATTCGAGGTTTGTCAACTGATTTCTCTATAAAGGGAAAACAAATAATTACACATTTTCGTTAAACACCAATTACACGCATGCATAATATTGTTGTATCATTTTCTCTAAATCAAGTCACATTCTAATAGACTCGAAACCAAGGTCAGGAGTTTATAAATCGTTTTAAATATAATTTTGAGAACTTGTGCAGTGGAAATCATTTCATTAGGAAGATTTCGACGACAGAGAAGAGTTGATAATCCTTCGCAGAATCATAGATTTATGTTTCCTCTTTTGAAACCGTTTTCTTTTCCTTGTAGTAACTTCTGTGTTGAACATCTAAGAGCAAAATGCATTTTGTTACTTACTTTATAATTCTGACAATGATCCAGCTTTTTCATTTGAAAACTGGCCATTTATCGGAGATTGAATCCTAAGTTAAATAACTGCATTAATTTACCCAGAAGACATTTACGAAATATAAACCTAAATGGATATACGTTTTAATTCATTTCAAGACGCTTTCTCCTAAAAATATTTTCGTCCTAATTCTGTCACAAATTAACACTTTCGCTGTATGCAAGACCATTTCCCTATTTCACACATTACAATATTGTACGTTAAACTTATTTTTAAAATGTATACGTTTTCAAGATTCAATTTCTGTCGAGAGACAGCCTCTGCTGATCTACATGTTCGACTTTAAGACTCTATCGTAATGAGACCGAAATTATTTATCTCCTCCTAAAGCTTCCAGGGGGATGTGGATGACAGTACCAAACACCTCCTCGCGACTAATCTAATTAAACAGACAGGGCGAAGACAGGGATGCAAAATTTCGAACTCATTTTGACGAAAATGTTAATGTAACTCAAACACTACACGGTACGGCAAGCAAGAGATGAAGGCCCCAAATCAGATAAATATGCCGAGTGGAGAGGATGATTTGATTAAGAACTGCAGGCCTATGCGAGGGAGCTGCCGATGCTGAAACGTCCATCAGACTGATTCAATTAAAGCCGCTCTCCTTTCTCACCAATCATACCAAGATGCCAGTGCTGCCGAAACTGCCGACCGTAATCTGACAAATTTAACGCTCGGTCTCACTCTTAAAGGTTCTTTAATTCAATTTTATATCACTTCGACTTTGAAACATTACAATAAGATGGTCGAGGGTATTCGCAAACTCCGGCATGAAAGCGGGTGTTTTGAAAAACTGTATATGTAATCGTATCGGACGCTTGCCATGTTTACTAGCATGAAGCTGATTCAGTTTATACAGAATTCAGACATGCAAACGTTATTACATGTTCATGTTCATCAGTAGGTCTCCCTCCAATACAGGCACCTGTGAAGTAACAGCAAGCATTGTTAGCTTCTTTCTAACATTAATTACGTCTTTTAATTTTTTTTCGTTCCTATTTTTATCTTTTCTGTCATTTGTATTTTCTTATCGTTTTCTCTCTGAAACAGATTTGTGAATTTTCTTTGTTTATTTTACTGTCCAACGCCTGAACTTGTTTGAATCTGTTTTACTTTAAGCTAACCAGGAGCTGAAGTTTGCTTCCGGATGCTAAAGTTTGACGGACAGATATACGTCCAGCACCGCCGATTGTGTCGGACGTTTCCCACAAACATGTCTACTGTCATTAGATAATCTCTTTGATAGATTTCCAACATAACTCTATATTAGGGATGCTTGTTATGTCGTTAATGTCTACACAATCAATTTTGCAATATCACAATATAAAATGTACCATACGTATTCAGGTAATTGTCGCAGAAAAGAACGTACATGACACTAGACTTTTCCACAAGTAACAGGGAAACAGTAATACATTATATATATATATAAATCGAAGACTTGATTCCCCCGTTCAATTAGGCTGCTTACCATCATCAAGTTCGACTGAGAATGTAGTGTGACCAGACTCACATCAATGTTTGACCTTAATCGAGACACAAACACACAAAATACCTTAACTGTCTTGTAAAACTGGTCACATGCTATCCGCAATTCATCGGTACCATAGCTTCGTTCATATAAGATTATATACATCCTAATCTCTGTATGGTTCCTTTTTGTTATATTTTATCACTTAGTCGGGAATATTTGTGATAGAAACGTTGTGACAGAATAAAATATTGTATAGTTTTTATTGTGAATGGTTTGTGTTGTCTATAGGTCTTGTTTCTAGAGTGCAGTTGTGAGGGAAATTTAAATAGAAGTTAGTTTATAAACTCAAAATGTTTCTTATTGTCTAAAAAGGAAAACGTAGTTTGAGATTGTTGACTGTCATCAACATGTTGATTGATATATTAATGCGTTGCTCAGAAGACAAAACAGTACCCCATTTTACTATAACACTACATGTAAGGTACACATCAATTCGTTTATAGCATTAGACTCTGGAATGAAGGGCCTGGATGCCTTCAACTAATATTTAGACCTCTGGCTTATAATATAGGACTCTTTTAACAGACATCACTAAGTTTAAAACGCCATATATAAAAAAAATCTATTGAATTTCTCACAGTATCACTGTATTTTGTATGGCTTATATATTTGTTCATTTGTCCGAAAACCAAGAGAGGTTACGACCGTTTTCGTTCAAATCAAAATTTCAATGAGATGCACATGAGAAAATTTTAAATAAAATCGCAAGAATGATTCCTAGATGTTATTATGTTGACATTTTTTTTAAAAAATATGTCAAATTATGTTATGACTGATGTGACAATATGCTGATACTAATCATGACTGCGCACGCGTAATACCATAATAGTTATATGAGAAATACGTCATTTGTATTTACATTGTAACATGGACCTTTGTTATTATAAACATGTTAACTTGTGGATATGCGTTACGAGTAATCTGTTAACATGTGGATATCACATCTCAAACAACACGCGAATACAACCACATCATAAACAGCGGACTGCAGGCTGTTATCTCGCCAAGATCTCGTAAGATAACGACTTGAGGGAGAAGTCATTGTATGTCAATTTAGGGAGCATATGTTATCTCCATGCATGAGTGCTCTCATGGACGACTAGGGCTAGATCCATACTACAACCGTATTATATCTCACCTAAGCATCTCCTATAAATTCACCATTAAAATATCCAAGTCGGGCGTAGTATGCAGTTATAGCGATGGGTTGTAGTGCACTAGTTTGGAAGTAGGAGGAAAAAACCCTGCAACTGCAAGATAATGGTCCCAGCTCGACGCACGTCGATGGGGACAAAAACAATGTTTTCAAATACGTTTCTTATCCTTACTGATCTCTGAAAGGAAACCACAGCACATTGACGTTTTCAAGTAATTACTCTTTCCTGTAACACCCTGTGATACAGTATTATATCACAAGTTAATGATGTGAATATATATATAGACAGAGAGAGAGAGAGAGAGATGTGCAAGTTAAACTTATTTCATACGGACTTTTTTTAAAATTCCAAATGATACCAGACAGAGAAATTACTAGAGAATGGGTGTGACCCTGTCATAAGACGATATGAAAATGATTTGATAATCTTGGAAGAAACATTTAAAACACAGCTTTTTATATATTGCATATTATATTCGCTACTAAACTATTTCTTGTTTTCATAGGCTGGATTTTACGGTGAGAATATCCGAAGCAATTTATTTTCTTTTCACAAAAACGCTAGGTTTCTTGCTTCAGATCTGTTCCAAACCCACCGTTGGAGGTGCATGGAGACTCGACCTGGATAGATCCCAACAAAGTTGGGCATTGTTTTCTATAATGTGAATTATTAAGAACATTGTAGGTAATTATATAACTCCTCGGTGGTAAAATTTATTTATCGTATATAATATACTGTTTTATGTGTACAATGGGAGCCGTAAAGTCAAACTTTGTCGGTTTTAGTTTCACTTTCGCTATAACAAGAAATTGTTTGGTCGTAAATAGTTGTGAACAGTTCTCAAATGAATACTTTCATATTCTTACGATTGAAAAATGTACCTTTGTTAATTGAAGTGTATCATTTTACTAGATTTATCCCATATTTCATCATCTAAAGCTAATTCTAAACTATAGATAACATCATAAATTAACTTTGATATAATTTCACGTGATAAAGTGCAAATCTAAAGAGAAGAG